TGGCAGGGGGGTTGGAGATTCATGATCCTTGAGGTCCCTTCCAACCCTGGCCATTCTGTGATTCTGTCTGAAGTGCAAGCTCTTCTATGTCACGTGCGATGCACTGCACCCTTCTTAGCACTAACCATGCTGAGAAAGGCAGGAGTCAGCATCACGTTGCTGTGGTAGCATTTCTCCTTTCTTATTTCCCGAGCAGTTCCTCTTATACAGACCTGCAATGCCAATGCTGACAGCTCTGGGTCGGCCCTCTGAGGAGCAGCACACATTTCCCAGCTCAGCCCTGGCGTCCTGTCCTGCATGGCCCTGTGTTCCAATGGGTCCTGGCTCTCTGCTTTTGACCCTTAGTGAATATCACTCCTATTATCTAAGATCTCAACCACGCCAAGTTCTGCTCTTGAGATTATTTTGCTCTTAATAATGTCACAATAAGTGGGTGGAAGTAGCTAATGGCTCTAAGCCACAAATGATCCCAAATGTTCTCAGTCTCCGCTCTCCTGTAAACCTTGACAGATTGGGAGTGCTTAGTAAAATATTGTAACACTCAACACGCATTTACAAGGCAGCGATCTGTCCCATGACGGCTTCCAGATGTGTAGTGTGTGCAATTTCATAATTCAAGAACAGATTCTATTGCCCTCTGCAGATCCCCCATCAGGCTGTTCATAAACGCTGCTCATAATTAAATTAACCCACTAACTAGCCATGCAAATTTTGATAAGCGGAGACCAAAAAAAAAAATAAAATAAAAAGAGGGAAGTGTTGAGATGCTCTCAAAAAATGACAAGGTTGTCTTCAGAGATTAGTTATCATTAGGAGATGGGTTTTTTTTTTTTTCCCCTTCCCGTTTGCCAAATTCCACTTTGTCCCTTCATACGTGACAACTGCTGTAAGGCTTTAATCTGATAATTAGGAGCTGAATTTTTGCCTGCCTTCCTCGAGCTGCCTGCTGTCCTACTCTCTGCTCAGCCTTTCTGGAATCGAAGTAAGCTGCTGTTCTGTGTGTGGGTAGCAGAATCAGGCTTCAGTTTTAAAACCCAGCTCGTCTCCAGCTTGAGGAGCAGTGAAGGAACAACACATGCATGTGCTGGAGCTGATGAGAGGCTGTGCAACCTTGGGGGGAACCTCAGTAAAGATTTCATCAGTGATGCTATGAATAATGGGCTGTTGTTTTCTTTCAGAAACGATGGCTCAGAGCTCTGACACGTGAGGTCTGCTTGCAGAAGCTGTAACCAGCTCTCCTACAATAACTGTGCTATATTAAAAAAGAGCTGGAGTTATGACACCTGGCTTACATCGATGGCTGAACAATGGATCCTTTTATAGTGGAGTGTTGGCCAGGGGGTAGGTGGGGTGGAAGTTGGGTGTGGAAGAGGAGGCAGGACAGCAAAAGCAGAAGGCATCTTCTGGAGTGAAGCAGCCCCACTGGTCTGTCTGGGTAACCATTCAGGGCATTCTGAGTTCCTCTTGCACTTCCAGCTCCTCGTTTCTTTTTGAGGTTCCATCACTCAGAGCTGTCTGATGATCCTGGCTCCATGTGAGAATGCAGTGTAGGGCAGTGCTTGTTAGATTAGGACTCAGCCTTTCCGTGTGTGTTCTAAGTGCTGATGTTGCTCTAAGCTGTTTTCCCAGCTCAGCTTCATTTGCCTTTGTCATCCACGTCTACAGCCCTAAACCTAAGGGGGGAACCTCTAAGAGCTGCTACAGTATAAATGATAACTACTGCCTATTGTAGTGCACTGAGTTCTGTACAACCATGCTGACTTCACTGGGATTTACATGCGCACTGCTTAGGGGCGGATTTGGTTCAGTGGGTGTAATTAAAAAAAAAATGAACTACTCCTTTTTAAGATGGGTTTTACTTGTTGCCTGATATTTTTTAATTGTTGGATGGAATGCTCTAAATTACAACGCTTTGCAGTGACGCGTAATACCTCTGCGTTATTAATTAATTAAGCCTCACAGTTCCTTGTGAGGTGGGGAGAACACTTTGATGCACTGCGATCAGAGTGATATAATCCATGGTGATGAATAAGCTGAGCCCAGATAAGCACTGTATTCTCATAGTGCAGGCCTGGGGGTGAGAAAGGGGCTTTGCAGCATCCCCACAGGCAATGGCAATTTCCATTGTACGTGTGTGAAACTCTGCTCCTCCCTAAAGGAGGCTAACATACATGCAGATCTGGGAGCAATAGCACTGACATGGCAAAGGCACAGCATCCTCTGAATGCCACTCTTTGCTTTCTAGACTCACAGAGAGCAAGCATGGAGAAACTGTGCACTCAACACACTCAATTTGTGACCCAGATAACCTAATAGCTGCTATAAGTAACTCATGTAGCTCAGCCAGAGACTATTTCTGTCTCTGTAGAGTACCACACCGTATCAGTTCTTGTGCCCCCATCCTCAAGCTCCTCAGAGTCCAATGCAGGATGATTTATGAGTGTCTCAGGAAAATCAGATTTCTGTAAGGATCGTGTAATCTGCAGAGTTTGTGACAGGAGAGACCCCGAACTAAAGAATGGTTTGTTAAATGAGAGTGTGCTTAGCCTTGCAAAGGGGGGTGCTGCTATGATAAAGCAGGTCTCCTGCTATCTTCTCCTCTTTCCCCTGCCTTGAGGATCCACGAGGTGTTTCTTCCCAGGCGTATGTATTTCCTATAATATTAAAAGGAGAAGTTGTCATTTCTGACAAGTTGTGTATATAGATGATGTCTTTATTATGATAGAGATATATACACTGATTGATTGGTGAATGTGAATCAAGTAAAGAGAGCTTGTGAGAAGAGTCTCCAGCTTGCCAAAATGCCATTTAATCAGTGGCCTAAAGATGAATTATCTGAGGAGGAGACGGGTGGTGAATGGATGTCCCTTAGTTCAAGATCTGGGGAATAGGCAGAAACCACCAGGAAGCTCCAGCCTGGTCTTTCAGAGTCTGATGTGGAATAGAAAAGTCGATGGCTGTGCTGAAATAACTGACTTTTAACTGCTTATCCTGAGCACTGGTTAATTGTGCAGCTGTGGCATCATGGAGTTTGGTACAACTTGCAAACCCCACAATGCCATGTGCAAAAAAATGGATAAAATCTCAGGTTGCTGCTGCTTTGCTAAGAAGTTTTAAGCTGAGTTCCTGTGTACATTGGTTGGTTCAGAGCACAGCTCCATCTGCCTTGCAAGCCTTGCAGTGAATGGCACCTTCCTCTAGCAAAGCCCCTCTCCTCTCTGTTAATCTCAATACTGCATTGACAAGATAAGGATGAATTGGACAAGAAAAACAATGTCAGGACCGAACACTTGCCTGGTCATACAGCTCCACTAAGGCTGTTGTGTTCAGTGTATGTTGTAATCCTAGATGGCAAGTTTCTTTTATTGTTGCTATTTCAGTTCCAGGGTGATTAAATAAGCTTTGTTCCTAAGACAACTGCTCAGGGCTCCTTCTACCTACAGTAAAGCTGGAGAGAGAATGCTGAGCAAAGACAAACAGGTTCTTTTCCATCAGCAGAAGAATATTCTGCAATATGGGCCTTATTTAAAGTTGCTGAAGATGAGGGAAAAATTCCTGCTAACTTCTTGCTCCTGAGACCACGTTTATGTTTCAATGAATGTCCCCACTGAAGAACTCGTTATTTTTAGGAACCAAGCTCAAACAGCCATAAACATCACAACAGCTTCAATGATCATATTAAAAAGTATATTTTTCACCTTGTTTGACCCACAGAACTGACGTTGGTAAAGGAATTCCTCCACCACGTAGCTCCTGTGAATCACACATCCTCACTTTTCCTTGCCATGAAGGGATCTGAACACTGCAATATCAGTGAGGAGGGCATCTCAGCAGCAGCAGCTGGAGATGTGATCTCAGCTTGGAGGTTGTTCTGTAGCTCAGAAGCTGCTCTCTCTGTTTCAGAGTCCTGCATGCTCACGAGGACGAGAGCCACAAAGTTTCCTTCTATCTGACAGGAAGGTATCACCAGTGTGATGCTGTTCCTCTGTACGAAGCTCTTCTGGTAGGTATCCAGTGGTGGCTTTTGGTATTTCACACGTTCCTCCTTATCCTCCAAGGAATAAACTGGGGCTCCAAAGTGCTCACCTGGGCAGAGAGCACAGCGCTTTGTCGTTTGCTGTTGTTTAAATGCATTTCCTTGAGCTGACCCTGCTCTGAAGGAGAGACACTGAGACCACAACCCCCTGTCGAGAAGCGAGTTGCAGTTAAAGTGTCTTGACCAGAGACTGATGGGAGCTGAATCTCATTCCGTGGACATATTTGCTTTAATTTAAGTGGTAACCTGGGAACAGAGAAGGATCTCCAAGGTAACAAGGGATCGGTAATGCCTCCCGTGTTCATCTAAAGCAGGGTAGGCATCCAATCTCAGGAGAGCATTTCAGCAGATGTGCAAAGGAAGGTCCAATTGATACCTATTTTGTTGTTTTTTTTTTTTTAACAAAACGTTTTAAACGTTGCACGTTTGTGTCCCTTGCCCTATTGATCTGGAGATCTTTAATGTTGTTTGGTTTATTTATTTCGTGTGTCTAAGCCGTAAAAGAACAAATCCTATCTAGAAATGGCAGGTTGTGCTCAGAGCTGCCAGAGAGCTGAGAGTAGGCAACCAAATCTTGCAATGAGGTGATCAAAGATTTCATCAAAAATACAGAATGTTCAAGCTGTTCTGCCAGCTGGGAGACTTGTAGCAGGCTGGAATTCATGCTGCTTGAAATGCTGCAGCTTCCTTCCAAGCAAATAAAAGGACCCTATTGCCCAGCAACCACCAAAATAGGATTAGTCATTACAAATGGGCAAATATCCCAATAGGACTGGGAGCTCAGCTCGGAGAATTGAAGGGTAATGTTTTGAAAAGATCTTACAGGCAGACTTACACGAGGAAAAGGCTTACAACTGCCATGTGCCACTTTTGTATTGTACTGGTTCTGTGTAGCTATGCTAGGCTGTGCAAAAGGCTCTTTATGAGGTTTAAGAATGTCCACAAAGAAAGTAAGTGTGTAATAGCTATTGCACTTTGTGCAGTTCGTGGAAAATTAGGTCATATACCTTACAGAAGTTCCTATAGAAAGTCCATGCAGAACACAGGGCATCTAAACACATTTTCTTTGACTTTTTCATAAAGTAGGCATTCTTAAATCACTTCCATGTTTTTAGTGAATTGGAGCCTTCAACTCTAATTCTGCAGAGATGTTTAAGAACTGATGGAATTTTACGTTCACCTTCCTGACCCCAGCTTGGTAGGAAGGCCTGCATCCTTCCATAGTGTCTTCAGAATGCCTCACCTCACCCTGCTGCCCATTCACTAATCTGACTGCTCCTGTTGATCTTGCGATTGTGTATTTCCTCTGCAGAGTTCAGCAGTAATAGTTTTTCCAATTGTTCCTATAAAATAAGCCATAAAATAGATTGTGTTTTTAATTGTTCAGCTTCATTCAGTAGACTAATCGCTGGTCTTCAGGCATGTTACATTAAATACAGCTAAAGGTTTCATTATTCAATTTAAACTAATCTAATTAGTTAGAGACAATCATTTAATTTGGTTATGATTCTAATCTCTCATCAGGAAACTTCTCCCTGACAAAGACCCTTGTTTGTCTTTGGAATAAAACTGCCATAGGAATGAACATTGTGGGAATGGATCCTGCAGTTCCTGGTTGGTGGCTGTGGCTGTCAGTGCTGTGCCTGTGACAGACCTGGCTTTGGGGATCCATCCCACCTACCAACCACGAGACAGCAGCCATACATACCAAGCAATACCTCCTCCCCACTACTGCATTAATGAGTTAATTTGAGAAATGTAAACAGATAGGCAGGGGAAAACACCAGGACAAAGCAATTAGTAAGCACCTGGAATTGATATCAATTATTGTTGCTGTGTTATGTGATTTTGATGCCTTATATCAGCCAGTTTTTTTGTAGGGTAGCTTTGGAATCCAGATACTAAAGGACAAACGCTTTGTTTGGTATATATTCTCATTCCACCTGTAGATGTTACAAGGCAAGGAGGTGTTTTAAATCTGATAATCCTATCAGCTGCTCTATCAGAATTCTGTTTCCAATTCAGAGCTGCAAGAACCAAACGGTGCTGTACCTGCAGAATCACATCTTGGTCTGCGTCTTTGGTGATGCAAACTCACCACTGATTGGGCTGCAGGATTTTGTGATGCCCTTACGAGCAACAAACTTTCTTTACCATGAGCTGAAAGACATTGTTCTCCTTGGGCCATTGGATTACCTGCAAAGAGAATGGGAATTTATTCAGAATTTCCCAAAGCTGTGGTTATTCTCGGTAAGAATTTTTTGTTCCTTCCCTTTTCTGTAGCTCTCCTGTGCACTTCTGAAGGTGTTTTAAAACTCTTTGTCAATATGAGGGCTGATCCAAAAGTAATGCCTCCTATTTTATCACGGTTGTCCATGATGCCAGAGGCAGAGGGTGGTGGTTTGGTACTGTGGTTACCCCTGAGAAGATAATCGTGATTGGAAATGGGGAATTGTCCAATGAATTGCAAATTTAGAACCATGAATTTTTTTCCCTGACCAAAGCTGCTTGTATTTGAAGATGCTTCCAAAATGCCATTGCGCCAGCTGGGTTTGAAATAAATACATTTGTTCACCTTTCACTTTCATTGGTCCTTAATGTTCAGCTTTCTCAGATTTCTCCTTATCCTTCTTTGGTTTGATCAGGGTAGTGCTCTCTCCTGTGTGGATCTGAAGGCAGTTAATGTCCAGGATTGCGCTGCTTGTGTCATTCTGTCTTCAAGCACTCCTATCTCAAACAATCCTTCCCTGGTTGACGCGGAAAGCATCCTAGCCATTCTCAACATCCAATCCATGGAGGTTCAGCTCAATTCATCCTCAGTGGGTAAGCGTGCTTCCCTTGGCCTGCGAGCTGATGAGGGGAAAGGAGAGAGGGGTGAAAGCATCACTTGTCACTGCTCTGAGCCACAGCCCATCTATCCTGACTAATGTCAATGAATACGGCCAGAAATCCATTTAACCTTACTGGCTGGACAGCCTAGTCCAATTTCTGCAGCTACAGATTTGCAAAGGAGAGGTACAGCAGCACTGCTCCCTGGAAATAGGCCAGTTCCTCCCAAAAGCTCTGAGTGATACTTCAAGGTTTCCAGTAAAGAGACGACCGTGGGAGGCTAAATGGCAACGAGAGCTGGTAACTGCTGTATTACTTGGAAAAGCAGTTGTGAGTGGAGTCCCTATCCATCCTTCCAAAGGAGAAAAACAACACCTTTCCCTTGGGGCTTGAGAAGGTGGGCTCTGTTCTCAGCACAAAACTGCGATGGAAGCAAAAACAGCTCAGCAGAATATTTACTGTGTCTCTTCCTTCCTTAATTTGGCAAAAGAGCTGAGATTTGTCCTCCTCTTGAGAACATGGAAGTATTAATTAACTGAAGACGGGCTGAGAAATGGATGGCTCTCTTAAGTGTTTCCCATATACTTTATTATCTTTCTAGGCTTTTAAAGCAATGGCTTTGCCAAAGAAAATATTACAGTGAGGCAGAGACAGGGTGTTTTAATAATAACTAGGCAAAACAGCATCAACATACAGCGTGTACTGTCAGAACAGGAGAATAATGATTTAGAAGGGCTATTTGAGTAAGGGGTAATTGTTGATTACTTTTAACTGATGTATTTACTGCTACATATATATAAAGATATATGGAACTCATTATTGATTGTATACAGAGAGGAAGTAAATAATATGTTCTTAAATGTATATAATTTATATATCTCTATAATGACAGATATAGATACTGTACCTACTGCATCTTTATACCTATATCTGGAAAAGAGGGAGACTCAAAGCAGAAAGGGCACTTCATCCTATCAGCCACAGTTCTACCACCCTCCTGCATTTTATTTTATTTTTTTTTTTGTCTAATGATTCAAAATCACAGTACATTGTGTGCAGAGCTCTGAACTACAATGCGTACATGGAAAATAGAGATGTGAGCATCTGTTCATCAAAGCCTTCCCAAGCTGCCTTGCAGAGTTTTGTGCAAAGAGCACAGAAGACAACTGCAGATAGGAAAGAGCCGACAGATAGAGAACAGCAAGGAAATTTGCCAGGCTGGGTAACTGTCAAGTTAGCTTGGAAACAGTGAGAACAGTGAATAGCAGTAACAGAGCCAGGCAGTGCCTGTGCTGATCTGAACTTGGTGTCAGTTCACCTCCTGCAGAAGTTAAAGGCAGCCACCTGTAGCAGTGAAATCTGCATTTCAGAGCTCAGGTGCTTTGGTAAACATTGCAGCAAACGTAGTCTCACTTTGGACGCCGTAACGAAACACAATTCAATTGCATTCCCTGTGGTTTTAGATTTCAGGGTGAGCATTTCAAACTCAACCAACCCAGGCCCATTCTGTGCATGACTTGTCCCATGGGGTGGAGAATTAGGCAGCTCTTAGAGAACCAGACCCACACCGCGGTAAACACGACTTACGCTCACAAGAACGAGTGTTTACTGAGGTCGTGCTGATGCCAAGGACTTCTAGTCTTTCCCATGGAAAATTTTAGGTTTTCCAGTAATGCTGTAATTATCACCCTGTCATGTCACCACGCAAACAGGTTGGCAAACCTAGGTACCGAACTAAATAATCTGTGGCATAATCTAAACATGTAATGGTAATTAAATCTGACAACTTAATAAGCTACTGAAATTCAAACGTACAGAAGTAATCTGCAATTAAGTAATCTTTTGTAATAGCACCCTGCCAGTCTGTAGGATTTCAGGTGGAGCGCTGTGTACTGTTCCATAGGAAAAATATTGACATAAGGAAAAGGTATCCAGGCAATGATCAGACATATTCAAATCAACCAGTGCAGCGCATGGAGAGGTGCAGCGCAGGCAATGATTCACTTCAGGCATTCAGTTGTGTGTATTCAGAGATGCCTTGCTGTGCTTGGGGAGGGTTTGTTCTGCTGCTTCGAGGTGTGGTGGCTCCTGCCATCTCTAGCAAGGTGTTTGTGGGTCCATCTCCTAAGCTCAGGGATGGATGATTGGAACAATGGTTGGTCTCCAATATTCACTTGCTCCTCGGAGGGGAGAAGGAGTCATTACAAACTATCCGAATCTCAACAAGTTTCATTTCTTGCAAAATGGAGTTCAGATTTCATCCTTTTGGCTGTGATAACACCATGTGCTGCATGTGGTGTTCCTGACCCTCAGTTACCCCAGTGCTGTGCTGGGCAGCAAAGGAAAGGCTCAGGTGTAACAGAAAGGGAAACAAGGTTGTATACAACCAAGAAAAAGAGAAGATTTTGGGTTGGGTTGCTTCTTACCAAGTCAATTGTCTGGAAGACTTGAGTGCAATAAGAACACGTGCTGTAGGAACTTCTGAATTTTTCTTTTTCTTGACTGTCAGGTCTTCAAAACTCATGGCCTATGCCTTTGGCCTTCATCTGTTTCATCCAGTTACGCACAGCATCCTTGAAGGGGAAGGATAAGACAAAACCTTCTCCCTCTATGCGTAACTTATTGGGTACTTGGGGCCAAACAGCACTGGAACCATCACTGCTGCACCACAGAGCGTAATTATATTTCAGTAACGATGTCAATAAGCAGCTCCCAGGAGAGCTTTTATTTTTCTTGTCCTTTGAAGCCCTGAATGAATAAAGTAAGCCTTGGAAAAGCAAGCCAAGTCAAGAAACTTTCTAAATATAGGAAATGCTTTGGGTTTTTTTGCATGACAATGACATTATTTTTAGGCATAGGCAAAAGATTTCCTACATTTGTCAGCCTGAACTATTGTGTCTTGGTTTCATTTTTATCCCCTCCCCCTTTCTGCTTCCACCGACTTCCCTCTCTCCTCATGTTGTTATTGACTGTTTCTACAGATGCTGTTTTCAGAGCAAGAGCATTGGGGAATCAATCAGAGCCACGTTATAAAAGGATCCCCATCACTACAGAGCTGAGTAAGTTATTCTTTAGGAAAGAATTTCACAGCAGCAATATGCGTGCTGCATTATTTATTTAGCCCGGGCCTTTTTAGAATTCAGAGGCACAAAGCGACACGCACTACATGTCCAAGGAACATTAAAAGGTTTGACTTAGATGTTAATTCACTGCCTTTGAAGGAGTCAGGATGGTTTATCGGGAGAATAAATAAAACAAAGTGTTACAAAGGTCTCAGTGTGAAGCAAAACACCGAAGCATCCATTTAGGATGAAGATAATGTCCTTGTTCTGTTCTGCTAGACTGGATCTCAGGAGATCTGTGTTCTGGTCACGTGGCCAACATTCATCGCACCTTTGGGTACAGACTTCACTATGATAAATCAATCAGGAGCGTGTTTTCCTGCTTTCCCTTTATTTTCAGCAAAGAAAGAGACACCACCAAACGCAGTTGTGCTCAGAGGGAATCTGACTTATCCTTTGGCCATGCTTCCCTCTCTCTGGTGATTTAAAGAAAGATCTCATGTCCAGTTTTCATCTCCCAACAAAATGAGGCAAACCAAGGCCTGATTCTTTACATTTCAACCCCAGCTTTCTGGAACACAGCAGTGGTTTCCCTCCTCTTCTCTGGATCCTGGTGGTGGCTGTTGCAGCCTTCCTCCATTGGCCTCTCTAACCTGTGTTTATAACTGGAGCAGCCATGGAGCTCTTCCATTGCTGCTCTTGGCTGGTTTTTATCTTTGCCTTTGTCTCCTGATGGTTACGAACTAGATTCATTAATTAGGAACACGAGCACTAATTAATTGATCAGCAATGCAGCGGTCAGTGTCACACCAGAGTGGTGATGCTGGGCTGGTGGTCCCCAATGACGTGGATGTTTTGCTCCATTCAGAATGCTGACACAAGAACATCACATCACATCAGCACAGCTGGGTGTCATAGCTGGATCCTCAGCCACGTGCTCAGGTTTGGGTTCTCTTTCTTCCTTCTTTGGAGCAACACTTGTACGTGGGCACTACATTTCTGCAGGGTGGGTATGGGACAAATGCACTCCTGCCACCATAAAGCAGCAAAGAACTGCAGTGGGCTGCTCAGTCCTTAGACTGAAACTCTCTAGCAGAAACTGATAAGATAAAGCTTTCTTCAGAGTCTTTCAGAACTGTTGGATTCCCCGGAGCGATATTTGGATGCTCTCTAGTGCTGCTGGTTTCAGCTTTTATTTCTGTGGTGTCCAAAAGCCTCAGAAATGTTTTGAGCTGGCTCCTGAGGCCCAGGGAGAAGGTATCGTGCAGTCACACTAATGTCTGCAGACAGCCATTGCTCCAGTGTGATTTCCCTCCAGGATGTGGTGTTTCATGGAGGGGAAAACATCTGTGAGCTGTTGACATAACTTGGATTTTAGTCATGTCAGCTCTTTGACACAATAACGAGTCGAGCCTGGTCCCCTCAGCACATGGAGGGCTGCCCCATTTGTGGTCTTCAACAGCATGGAAACATGTCCAGAGTTACAAGGATGGGCTAGGAAGGAAAATAACCCCCAGATTCTTTACCTTCCAGGGGATACAGCCCTGCAATAGGCTGCTCAGAGAGGTGCTGGAGTCTCCTTCTCTAGAGATGCTCAAACCCACCTGGATGCTTTCCTCTGCAAACTGCTGTGAGGAATTTGCTTTAGTGGGGGTTGGACTGTGGTACCTGCAGAGGTCCTTTCCAACCCCTATGGTTCTGTGATGCTCCAATATAAAACCTGGGAGCACAAAAGCAAGGCCAGTTAAATGACAGCTGCATGTGGAGGTGTCTGCTGGTCCACATTCCACACACTGAGCACATTTCAGTATGTTGAACATCTTCTGAACTGGAGTTAATCCCTGGGTTCAAAGGGCTACTGTAAGCAGGCACTTACCTGAACAGCACATCTTAAAAACCCACACCATAAAGGGCTGGAGATACATGGGATAAAATCAGCCATCTGCAAGCAAACAGGGATCCTGTGAGTGTGTGAAGGAGAAGGGACAGCGTGGAAAATAGAGCAGGACTGTGCTCTCTGGGTGCTGCAGGCTGGCTTGGGAAGCCACACTGATTAATTCCAGAGCAATGCCAGCTCCTAAAAGCCAGGGTGGGTGAAATATCTGTATTGAGAGCACACGGCTGAAGGATGGCACCGACACTGCAAGACAACAGGAGGCATTAATAGCGTGGTGATTCTGGCTAGCTTTAGTCATCTTTAAAAATGATACACTCAAATGCATTCTGGCCCAAGGGGACATAATAGAAATCAATCATTACTCGCACGGAGTTCTTTGCACTCTCTATTTTTTAATGGGAAGACGTGGGTTCTTGATCTCAATTCTTTTCAGTCCTCCTGTCTCTCTCTAACTGTGCTGCTGTCATTCATCAGAGCTCAGTGGCTGTGCTGGAGTGCCAGGACAAACTCAGCACGTCCAGGAGCACTTTTGCCAGGGTACACTTAAACAGTTCTCTGAGAATAGAAGGCGAGCTGAAGTGGAATCACTTTCTGAGTGGGGGGGAATTCTGCAGGACTACCTCAGACAGCAAGAAAAGGGATCCTCACTTCATCAGCCTTGTAACAGAAGGACAGTGTAAGGAACTCTAACCCCAGTTTAAGCCAATAGAGTCATTCCATTCCTGTTAGGTCAGGAAAAAGAGTGGAAGAAGTCAGACTATTCCTTCTTTTTCAAAACAGGTGAATTAATTTTGGCCTCTTATCTTTAAGCACTTGCATGGGAAATCAGTTTGAGGCTTCTGTGTCTTTTGTGTCCCGTTGCACCATCAGTCAGCAGCACTATTTTTTCCCCCTTCCTAATGCAGCACACTGTTCCTAGTGCTGGCTTCAGAATGGCAAGCTCCATATATTAGCTTTCTTTTCTGATCCTAGATGGCTTCCCTCCATTGCTAAGATGTTTCCTGTTTCTTCTTTGCTTATCCAACAGAGTTTTCACCAAACGCCCACTTCATTAATCAGTCTCCCAGCAGCAGTTCTGACATCCCAGAGGAAGATCTGCTTTCCCCCACCGCTGCCCCTGCAGGAGCTATTTTCTCAGATAGCTTCTTGAATTCTCTTTTGTCTATGGTAAGTAGATGTATCTCCTCCTGTCACGTTTAGTGGCATTGGAGTGTTAACAAAGTGATTATCAGCCAGGGTAAACCCACTTAATCTACCCTTCACAATGGTCAAGGCCACACACGTGTCAGAAAGGCACGAGACTCTGTGCCCTCAGAATTAAACATGTCTATTCCTGTTTAAGCAATTTGCTAATCATGGAATCCTGGAATGGTTTGAGTTGGGAGGGACCAGCTAGCTCCAACCTCCTGCCAATGGACTGCTCTAATCCTATGATTTCCTGGGGTAGCAGGTCCCATAGAATGAAAGGCAACTTTGGGCTCCAGGAGACACACGTGAGTGATGCTGCAAGCAGCAGCTGCTCTCCCTAATTTCTATATACTCATGCTAATATTTGAAGGAACTTCCAGAGTGCTTTAATAGCTTTTCATAACTTTCTCTCTCCTCCTACCTGATTTATTTACATTTTGATTGATAACATGAACTTACTATCGGTCCCCCAAAGGGAAGTGCAGTCACTGATGCTGGAATTGCATTCAGCACCAGCTGGCCTTCTGGTGGAGGCTCCAGCAGTGATGCTCATTGCTGAGAAGATTATGGGGATTCTGAATACCTGGGTCACATAGAGTGGAATCCTACAGCTCTGGCACATTGGTGAACTAGGGAACAGGCAGTTTTCACTACCACCACATTATCATAGCAGCATGGGCACGAACAGAAGTTCTTCTCATCTGTCTCATCTGTCTGTCACCCAGGCAGAAATTCACTCTAAGTTTGGATGGAATATCTTTTCAACTCAATGGGACTTTTTAACCCAGTGGCTCTTTTCTGAAAAGTTCCACATGTTTGGACCATGGCTGATCCACAAGACCAGGCTTTAAAGGAAGCATTCATTTTGATTCTCCTTAAATTCCTGGTGATGTCCTTTTAGAGACATTTGCATTAAGAGGAATGGGTACATCTCACAAAAAAAACCCCACAAACAAATCAGACCAGGAGGACTGTGGTGATTCCATCCTGATGGTGTGATCATTATAAACTGCTGTCAGTGCTATAGTTTGTGGTGACACTTAAGTGTAGTTAAGCCAGGATTTTGGCAGTAAAACTGAAGTTCAGCTCACAAGTTGGTGTTTCTAAATTGCCATCTCTTTTTTTTTTTTCCCCCAAAGCCCCTTTCTCCCTCTTCCCCATGCTGGAGTTGAGTTCCACGTGCATTGCTCTCAGTTCTTGTCCAAGGGGATAGTGCTTGGGTGGCAGTTTTGCAGAAATTGAATAAATACAAAACAAAGCTATCAAAGGGATAAGCAGTCCAAAATAAGCATGTCAAGTCCAGTTATGGGTGTTAGGGAAAGTATTATATTGCTGCTACTCTCTGATATGTCAGTCAGCCAGATAGTAATTAATGGCTGCTTGTGTCAAGTGAAAAAGTAACTTGAGACTTAGCATGACCTGTCTTAAAGGATAAAATTTCACTCCAGCATAGATTCCAAGTCTGTCCAAGAATGATCAGCGCTTGGCTCTGCTTTAGAGCACTGGAGCACCTTATGTTAGATTCACTCAGTCTGTAAATCCATAGAATCAGCATAGAATGGCCTGGGTTGCAAAGGACCACAATGATCATCTTGTTCCAACCCCCTGCTGTGTGCAGGGTCACCAACCAGCAGACTAGGCTGCCCAGAGCCACATCCAACCTGGCCTTGAATGCCTCCAAGGATGGAGTAGATGGAGCATCCAAGGATGGAGCATCCACAACCTCCTTGGGCAACCTGTTCCAGTGCGTCACCACCCTCTGGCTGAAAAACTTCCTCCTGATATCCAACCTAAACCTCCCCTGTCTCAGTTTAAAACCATTCCCCCTTGTCCTATCACAATCCACCCTCATAAACAGGTGGTGGGAGATGAATTCTGGCACAGCCTTTTGTGCAGGTCCATCCCTAGGAAGTGTCCTTATCTCGAGTTGTACCCAGACAACAGCTGGGAAAGAACTCCTCGTGGGCACACCACAGAAATGCTTTAAAGTCAGACCCATTGTGAGCACACTGTGCTGCATCCCGGTGTGTACACACACCTCTGTCGTTGTTCCCTGCCTTTCAAACCCCTGCCGTGTAACTCAGCCAAGAAAGTACAGAATGAGGGTGACATGCAAATCCTATTAATTCATCCAAGTATGGAAATGCAATCCTTTTGATGTCAAAAAGTACAGCAATGATATGTTAAAGAGCTCAGCACGCTTCTGTTAAATATGTAAAGTGCAGATTCCCCTGAAGCTGTATCACTCCTGGATAACCCTGGACTATAGCTCCTTACTTTAAAAGGCTGGGAATTACTCTAACAGCATTATACCTTTTTGCCCGACAATGTGGTCAGAAGTTCTTAAGCGGATTTGAGCTGAGCTTGGATTTAATAGCAGCGTTCCTTCTCTGCACCTTGTTTAGTTTCTTTGCTCAGGTGAGCACAGGTGACAGATTCCACAAAGTGGCTCTATGTAGGAAATGAGATTTTTTTGAGAAAGGGTGGGAAATGGGTTATTTGATGCACTGCAGGCAGAGGGAACACTTATAGAGCAAGTAATTAAAAAAAAAAAAAAGATGCTGTGTTTTTGTCTTCAGATCTTTGCATCAGAAAACTTTAAACTTAATTAAGGACGAAGCCAAGCGTACAAAAAAACCTCTCTAAAGTGTCTGATCACATTTTTGGTGGTAAAATCTGTTTGTCTTTCAGCAGACAAGGCATACCCTTTAGTCTTGACATTTTCCTTGTTTCTTCCTATGCAGACCTACTACAACCATCACATCCTGGCTTTGCTGCAGGCTTTGGTGACAAGCAGGACGAGCCCAGTGTTGGAGCATCTGGGAGAAGAGGACAGCAGACTGAGCAGAAGTCTGGATAACATGGTCCAAAATCCTTACCGAGTCAGGTGCAAGCTGGCACTCCTGCCACTGTCTGAGAGGTGGTTGTCAGGGATCATGGTGAGTCGTGGCATGGATTTGGGCTGCAGGGATCAAGCTTTCATCCCCAGTGCTTTCAGAAAAGAAATGCTGGTTGTCATTACCTGAAGGTTTGTTTCATACAGCCGAAGATCGTTGTGTAGCTCAAGCCATATTTTAAGGAGACTGAAGACATCAGATGGCTTTATATTAGATTCTAACCTTCTGGGGGGATCAATCATTTTGTTTTCTGTCCTTCTTACCAAATACAATGAGACAAAAAGTAGTGAATGGGGATAGAAGTTGGCTCAGTGTTCGATTCAGTGCAGGGCTGAGTTGTCCAGTTTGGTTCCTTTGAGGTAAGAGTGGTTTTGTTTCTTTCATTGCAGGAGGATTCCTTTGGAGACATCTACTGCAAAGCTTTGGACACATTTGGAATACTCTGCTTTGGCCTCTACCGGCTGATGGAGGAGCCCAATCCATACAAGAACAGGCAAGTACACTTCATTTTAAGTTGTACTGTGAGTCAAAGGATGCCAGTCATGACTTTGAAGTTAGGCATCTGCGGAAGGCAATCCGAATTCCTTACTTTTGTCTTGAGTTCAGACATCCTTGAAGGCAACTAAGGCCATCTGGGGCAAACTGGTGAGTAATCTGAACATGGTTCTCTGATTATTCCTGGAGATCCAGTGCTTACTGCTGCTTTCATGAGTTTCTCTGAAGTTGAAGTGTGATTTATCTTTTCTTCATTAGAGAGCTGCTGGAGCATGAAGTTATAACACTGCTGAGGGTGGGGAGAACTGCCTCATCTGAGCCCATCTGCTCCAAATCTTTCCATTTCAAGGTTTCTGTGATTGCTTGATGTCCAGATCTCAGACAGACGCTGTGTTTTGATTTAGAGAATTTGAGCAATCAAAACATTTATCACACATTTTGCCAGCTGTTTCAGAGACTCACGAGTTTCCTTTTTAATAAGTTGGCCAATCCTAGGTGCAAAGGGAGGTATGACAAAACTCTGCGTGTTGTCTCAGCATTCCAAAGAACTCTGCAGATGCACTCATTATCCATACAAATTCCAGCATTCTTCCTGTCCCAGACTCAGTGCAAAGGCCTCACCAAGCAGTCTGAATCTCATTTACCTTTTCCAGGTTTGTGATTGCTCGGCCTACCAGTGATTTAAAGATGTTACCCACAGATCTGCTTTTCTCCATCGTTCCGTTCAACATTGCAACAACTGAAGACCTGTAAGAGGAATTGGAGAATTAGTTACAAAGCAAAAAAAAAAAACAAAAAACAAAACAGATACCACAGACACCTCCATGCCAGAATTGAGAGACTGCAAAGTGCCCTTCAAATAAAGAGCTATAGAAGAAATGGAGATCCCACAATCAATTGTCAGTGTTCTTATTTCTTAGTGGGCAGCAGGCAGTTGAAATTTGGCCAATCACAGAAGATTAGCATCGAAAACAGTGTCACGAAGCTCTAACAACAGTGCCTATCAGAAAGTAAAGTACCTGCAAAGGGCAAAAAACTTGAGTTTCTGCTGAGTGTAGAACAGATCCATCTGTATTCAAACACGATACTCCACCAAATTGAGAGACTCTGCTGAACAACTCAGTTCAAAGACCCCAGCACTCTGAAATGCGCTTTTCCTGCATACAGAACCGAAGATGTTGGATTGATGGACATTTAAAAACAAAACAAACAACCCCAAATAATCCCCCATTTACTTTTGCCATAAATCAGATCCTGCCCTTGTGTTATATTCAGTGGAGGGAAGCAGGAGAATGGTTTTTTTTTTTTTTTTTTCTTTTCCACTCTCTCTTTCCCCTAACACTAATTAGGTTTGAAAGACTGCAGCTTGAGTCCAGATACCACATGCTGAGAAGAAAGGAACCCAAACAGCTGATGCAGAGTTCAGACTAAACTAACTGCAAGCTCCCCAGGGACATCACAAGGTAAACCTGATAGTCTCTGTCATTTACAATCATTATCAGGCAGCTGAGTCTCTGTAATTTTACTAGGGAGCCAATTAACAGATCCCTGAAGCTCAAGAGTATGGTCTTGGTCTTTTTTTTTTTCCTATTTTAGGCAGGAAAAAGGGGAAAATAAGCCTTTGTTGCAAATAAATACTCCAGAAGTTTTCCCACCCGTGGGAATGGTTGGGTCTGGGTTTTTCCCCTTGAGGAATAAAATAAAGCTCTGCAGTTAAGTGTTAAACACCAATCTGCAAATGGGCTGTATGACCCTGGGTGAGTTATTTTACTCCCCATATCCTATTGCTGCCCACTGAACGCAGGGAAAATAATGACATACTTGTTAATTTAGGTAATTAAGAGCTTCAGGGGAGGGGATGTCTCTTGCGATTTGTTTAGCTGAGTGTAAATGGGTGCTGATTTAGGATGGGACACTTAGGAACTCCACTCAAACAGTGTGAGTAACAAACAAGGGAAAAAAAGCTTGGACCAAAACTCCAGATGGAAATAAATCCAGTCCTGGGGAAATCTGGGGTTTGGATTCAGTCTGTGACTTAATGTGTTGGACTCATCTTTCCTGGAAGAAAGCAATCATGCAATCTATCTTGAACTGTAAGTAGGAATCAGTGAACCACGCTTAGAGCAAACAAAATACCATGGAAATGCTTTCTCATTGCCAGCCCTGTGCAGACCTGAAACTGAGCCAGGACAGCTGATTTCTTGGTAGGAGGTTTTTTGGCCTAAAGTCGCCCACTGTACATACAAACTTAGATAAGATTTTTTGCACTGGGATCTGCTCACCCTCTGGCAGATCAAGGTTTTGATAACAGCATCCTCGGTCCATTCCCTATCATGCAGTATTTTAAGAGACTGTTAAAAGGTGGAAGGAAGAGTCTGGGGCAGGCTTTGCAGCCCCTGGTCCTGTTGTAAGCTTCAGGAGGAGCTGAGATCTGACTACAAAGGAAATCTCATACTGACACTGCAAGCTTTCTGTGTTGTCATCACCTGAACCCTTCTTTATTTGCAGTAATTCAGACTGAGCGCAGAGGTAACACCTTTTCTTATTGCTCTGTTGTCTTTAAATATCTACATGCCTGGACCTCTGTACTGGTTTTAAGCAGCTCTTGTGTAATGTTAATGCATTTTTACTAAGAAAATTACCAGAAGAAGGAAAGAAAGAAAAAAAAAAGAACTGGTTTACTCAGAACTTTCCCAAATGGGTAAGAAACTCAGACTGCGTTGCCAGCAAACTCTTCTATCTGAATTCATGTGCTTTCCCTAGAAATCATCATATGCAAGAGAAATTCAGGAACTGCTGGGTCCAACTTTAGGGCACCAAACGTTGGGAATGCTGCTGTGTTACTCAGAGCTACGGGTGGTGTAAAGCTGTCAGAGCAGGGGGGGGGGGATATGCTTATATGTGGTTACAGAGCTTTTCCTGTATGTCAGATTTCTGGTGGTTTAACCCACGGCTGCTGGAGCGTGTCGTGCTGGGTTAAGGTGGAGCAGGGAGAGATGACAAGGTGATGGAGGGACCTCTTTCACTTTGCTTATCCCACCGTTTTGTTTAGTTGCTATCTCTGAGCAAGCAGTTCTGCTTCTCGTAGAAGAAAGGGGAGAGAAATCCTAAGGAAGGTAAAAGCATTAATGGGTCAAGGCCTCCTTTGCATAATTCTATTATCACCAGAAGATTCTGTGCTAATCATGTTAGGCATGTGCTCTGAAGCATCAAAGTGACTCGTCTTACCTTTTTGATGTTAGACAGGTTTAAGTGCTTTGTACAGATGAGGCACCTCAGACAGCTGATCAAGAAAGCCTGTGCTGTTCAAGCAAAGCAAAGGCCTGTTTGCTGCTCCTGCTGCTTTCTTTTTTTAATGTCAACAATGCCACATTCTTCCAACTAGGAATAATCTCTGTTGTCACAAACTGTGAAAAGCAAAGGTGTAGGAGAGAATGTGTGTCTGGGTGCATGCAAACACGCTTTCTGAAGCTGCCACCTTTGATTCTTCAGCAGCAGGATCTTGCATATTTGTTGGGTCATACATTTATATAGCTGTAGTAGAAAGAAGTTCAGCTCCTGCAATGAAAACCACGGCGTGGTACACAAAGCTGCTGCAGGATCTCTGCACCAAAGTTTGCTTGCCTGCACCCTTCCTGAGCAGGAAGACCTCCCTGTACATAGGGATTGATATTTGTAGGTTTTGGCTTTTAGCAGTACCGACAGTTTCCAGTTGAGTTTTGAAAATCTGGGGTTAGAAGCAATTAAAAGTGGTCCCTGAGCTCGTGTATGCAGGTGATGCATACAAAGAGTTAGCAGGGAAGCAGCTGAGAAACATATAGCAGATCTGTGGCATAAACAGAGACAGAACCCAGATCTCCTCATTGTCAGTGCATGCACACATACACACCAGAGCTTTGCTTTTGCCCTTAAGGAGATGAATACGAATGTCCTTTCCTGCAGCCAGCTCCAATGCAGCATGGGGAGCAGTGAGGACTGTGCTGGGCTCTGTAGGGCAGAGGTGGTGATTGACACGAAGTCAATGAGCTCTGAGGACAATCCAGAGTCTATAAATGTGGGATAGGGCAGGGTGGCCATTGATGAAAATGAGAGGTGGCTGCAGAGAGAGGGTGTCATTCCTCTCTAAGCAGTGATGGGGTCTGCCCATGGAGATGAACTGCTTCCCATCTGGGTGATGTTCTGTCTGCTGCCACAACGGGACGTGGAGCTGGGAACACTTGGGATGAAGGGCACAACAGCAGGAACTCAGCTTTGGAGAGCATATGAACCAGTATTTTATCTAAGATACAATTTTGACTCCACTGCAATAACTCCAAACGCCCAGTTTGGTTTAAATTAATGCCAGAGCAGAAGGTGGTCACTCTGAATCAGTAATTGGCAGTGGGTTCTCCAGCTGCTTCACACCAAAGGAAGGGCTTGTGCTGCTTTCCCATCCATCTCCATGAGCTTACTCTCTTAACCTGCCACCAAAGTACCATAAAACTGTGGTCTCATCCCCCATCTCCCCATCAGCCTCTTACAGGGACTGCAGCAGTTGAACTGCTGATTGCTTCCGCACATGCAGCAGGAGGCCGTGCAGAGTGAATTAGGTGAGCTAACCATATTAAGCAATCTGGAAGTGCATCATTAATGCTTCTGACACTTTTCTGTGGTGCACATGTGCCAACTAATAAGCATTAATGGCTGAAGTTATTCCATTTCCCAGGAAACACGTGGCTGGAGCAGTGGCAGCACCAAAGCAGCCTGCTTGTCTCTCACTGTCTCCATTTTCAGGTGCTTTTCCCAAGCTTTCCTACCTGAGGATGGGTGAGAGGCACACAAAGGGCATCTTTTATCTAAATAAATACTATTTTTTTCCCTACAGAATGTTTCTAAAGTTGAGATTTGAGTTTTCCTCTTGTTTTCTTCCTAGAATAAGCCCAGGCCTTCTCAAAGAAAGCTTAAAAGAAGAGTAGTACTGCCCTGACTTGGTCTCAATCTGAGCAGGAAGCATCCCTCCATTTTTCTCAGTGCTGTTCTGCTTTGCTGAACACTTCTGCTGAGTGCTCTCCTGCATGGCAGAAGTGGTCCCAGCCATTCTGGTGCTCTTTCAGGAGTTCTGAGGGCCCATGCATGGCAGAGATGAGCATTTTGCCTCCACCAGTGCAGTTCATCCTCTGTTCTCACTTCTCCCTGCAACTCCAGAAAGAAGCAGAAGTCCTGAATGCCAGACTGACGCATCAATCATAATTCCTGAGCTGCCAGCAGTCATGTAACTGCTTAAAGACCTCAACAGCCCTCTGGCACTTAAAGAAAAAAAATCATCTAATTAATCACAGGTGAAACAGCTTGGACCTGCTCCAAAAGCCCCTGAATTTACTGCCAAGCTTTGATGCTAATTTTCCTTCTAAGTAACCCCCTAAAGAAATTTACGATTAGGTAATTAAAGTGATGAATAAAGAGATACTTAGAAGAAGAAGGGAAATGAAAAAGAAGAAGGGAAAAGAAACCCTTGAGTCAAAAGCCTTAAATCTCCTCCCCTCCTCAAAGAGCAGCGTTAGTCATTTTTTTGCACACGCGTTGTCTCTGGAAATTGGGTTGGATTCCCACAGGAGGATTGGGAAATATTCCTTAAAGTAATGTTTGCATAACCGAATAAAGCAGAAGGAACTCCAAAACAGATCACGGTGTCAATGTAGCTGAGGAGGAAAAGAATTTGTGGCTTCTGCCTGAGCATCTCACACTGCACAGCTCCAGTCTGGAACTGCCTCTTGTCTTTCCCACCCATCTACCTGAGGTCTGATCACTGATAGGTAAATTCATTAGCAAATGCGCTGGTACCCAATTAATAACCTGAGAGCATCTGAACAACTTTTGAAGTCCAGCCATTATGGTCCTTTTCAACCCAGGCCAT